CCTTTGTAAATATTCGATCTATTGATAATACTTTCATGTATGTATCAACAGAAACGTATGGTTGAATATTAATGCTTGTTAATCAATTTATGTAATATTCATGAGAAAAGTGATATTTGAAAATCATTAAGTGCTAAGATTTAGTGAGAAAAAGAAGCAATAAGAGATCCATAAAATGAACCTAGAAATACCTAAGGATATTGCAGAGATGAAGCTTGAAATCAGATATTAGAATGATCGATCTCCGCAAAGGAAGCTTTGTTGTTTTATATCATGAGTTTAATTTATCTTCTGGGAAATACATTCATTCTCTCGCATAAAGAAATTTTTCAACCAGAAATTATTGAACCATTTCAATGTCTAGCACTAAAACCAAAGCTAAGAAAAAAAATTTGTAAATCCTCAAGTGAAATTGATTTTCAAAAAATATCTTTCTTCAAATGTTATTTTATCGTTCATTTATTTGTCAATAGATCACATAATCATCACGCGATCTCGATTCTCTTTCCGCTCTAAAGTTGCTTTTATCGTTCTTCAATAATCTTATATAACCCATGTAAAATTCTGTAATTCTAATCAAATTATTACTAGGTTTCATTTTCTTGAAACTCTTCTAGATCATTTTTGTTAGAACTATACATTTCAAGATCATCATAAGTGTATAAAATAAATCATATATCATTTTACTGTCAGAAAGGATTGATTGAAACTATACATGCGTTGTGGTCAAAATCAAAATTCTGTCAAATTTAAAATTTGCCTAATCTAAATTGAAAGATTTATTTCGTTCAATATAATCTCAGTCAGAATGTGCGTGTTTGGGTCTGGTTTTGTGGTAGGGTTGCAACACTCTAGAATAGGTTTGAGGTTTAGAGCCAAAGTCCTTGAAATTTGGTCTGTATATGTGTTTGAAGCTTAGATTCGAATTTCAATTTAGAGCATGGATTTGCTTTTGGACTAGATTCACATAAACAATTTGCAATTTGGCGACCGTTATCAAACGTAAACCATTTATATTATCTTTGTCCTAGAACAAATCCAAATATTAACAACAATTTCGTTCTAAATCACAAAATCTTTTTCTTGTCGTGTCTCTTCTCTAGTAAAGTAGATTATTGTTGACGTTACCTTATCTTATCAAATCTCTTGAGATGTAAGTCATTTGAAACCAAATCCGAAGACTTAAAGTTTGTTACACTCCTAATCTGGAGGGTCTCGGCTTGAATATTGATGTTTGGATCTGGAGATGAATGTAAATATGGGCATGGGCTGTGTCTGGTGTGTAACTGTTTAGTTTTGAGCATGGATGTGGATGAATGTGAGGTCCTTATTGCCCTCACACTTAGATCCTAATATGATATTTTTTTAATAAATTTTTTGAAATAAGATATTCTTTATTACTTTAATTCTTGTGTCTATCTTTACCTTCTCCTGTTCATGAAAAAAAGAAGTTTCGATTTCATCTGGACAAAATTAAAATCTCAGTTTTGATCGCAATATATATATATATATTTATGAACCGATGAGTAAAAAGAATCTTCATTCGAATAATTGCATAATTATTAACATTTATTAATAATTCTAATAGACTTTATTTGTAAATATGTTTTTTTCTTATAACTTAATTCTTTTTCTTAAGAAGCAATAAGCAAATAAACCAAAGGGTCGTCGTCCTCCGAACAATATATAAAAAATCAAAAGAAAAGCACCAATACCATATGACCAAAAAACAGTAGATTCACGTGGTAAACGACAATGTGAAACTCGTTCATTATTTGTTGTTATCGATAAAAGCATCAATGATGGATCATCACGATAACGCCAAGAAAAAGATGGAACTGTCCATTCAGGAATTTTTTTATCCTTCATATCGGTATGCTCTGTATAACAGAAATCATGTGTATGAGCCGTAAATACCAGTCGTGGTTTTATTTTTTTTAATAAATTTTCAGATGCTTCTTGAGATAAAACATCATAACGTTGTTTATGTGAAACAAATTTTGAAGAAGAAGACTACAAATAAAGATATATTTATTGAATATTTGATAAAACTCGTTGTTTTTCTTTTACTTGTGTCCATAATGAACAATTTGCATCTGACACTCTATATAATGGAAAATGTGATAATAATACTGGTTTAGTTGATGTTTCAGATCGATGAAGATTATTAACAATTTCATTAAGTTCTTTTTCAGCACGTGCACATAAACGACATTGATCACCTTCAAATGCCATTGAATTAATTAATATAAAATCAATATTATCATCATCATCAATTGTTATTAAACGTACATGTGGAGCTTGAAACGATTTTTCAAAACGTTCTAAACGACCATCTGATACATCATAATGAAAACCTATATCATGATTTCCAGCAAGTACATACAATTTTGTACTAGTTGGAACCGAAAATAATGAATGAAAACGACTAACTGTTTTTTCCCATTCATGATCGGAACACCATTTACCTTCATCAGTTATATCACCGAGAAAGAAAATAACATGAGGTTCAAATAGAAAACGTGCTGATTGAAATGAACGATACATTTGCCATTCACGACGTAATTTATCAAACCAATGACCTTCACGTGAACCAAGTAAATGAGTATCAGCAATAAACATAACATGTAATGGTTTTTTATTTGGATCATTTGGTGGTTTAACAGTAAAATCTTGATTAATTTTAGATAATTGTGGCCATGAACAACCCAACAAAACAAAATAATAAATCAAAAATTCACAATAAATAAATATAAATAATATTAAACAAACAATTTTAGCTAGAAAATGTAACATTGCTTGGTAACAACAAACATTAATTATCTTCATATGAAAAGAAAATTTTTTTTACGTAATTAATTTGTGAAGTAAAAACAGGAGCATAATTATTGCTGATCAAATTTCTTATCGTTAAAAAATAAACGACATTATTTATTTTTAATATATATATGTATATCTGAAGATAGAATTACGTAGACAAATAAAAGAATATATGAAGATGCTTTTTTATTGGTAAATTGTCTGACATTTACTTGCGAAATTAAATAAAAAACAATACAAGACAAAAATAATATCAAAGGAATGGATCTAAATATTTGGATCACGAGATTCTTGATTTGTAGTGTCGAATAATTTTAATATAGAAAATTTCATCGAATAGACAAATATTGTTCTATATATAATTCTTTTTTTTCTGGTTCAGATCAATCCATAAATAAATAAATTATACTGATAATAAAAGATCATTATTTGTATTCATCTATTCAAAAATATTCTATCTTAAAATTTTCATCACATTTTCCTACACATCGAAATGAGTAAGTTCGACTAGAACACGTACATTGAGACGGAAAAAAAGAGAATGAAACTAAAATTGAATGATTATTTTTGTTGAATATGCTCTTGTACGGACATTTTTGGTTTAATAAAAAGAGCCACAGCTTTAGCATAAATTTCACCTTCGCCATTTTCAACAACAGCATGTACATATACTTTACGACCTTCGTGACGTTCAACATAAGCTCGAACTAAAACCCATGCTGGTGTTAGTAATGGTTTTATATAATCAATATTAAGATTAGCCGTAAAACAAGGACCAACACAAGAGAATCTATTAAAAAACATGATTGTTTTTTTTTGCTTTTCATGCCGACTAATAACAACTTACGCAGCAGCACCACTGACTTCATCAATCATTGTTGCCGTAAGTCCACCGTGTCTATAAAAAATTAATTTATTTTAGCTTGATAATATAAACAATTTTTTTTCTAACTTACACAATGCCTTTATGTCCACAAATACCTTGACCAAGATGAAAAGCAACTTGTACCTCTCCTTTATCTTGATTTGTTGGATCATCATGTGCCGGTGAACTAGTTGATAAATCATTAAATGCTTTTAATACTCGTTCTGCTTGTTTCTCAGTTCCCATAAAATAAAAGAAATGTCGAATACCATTAGAATTAAGTAATGAATCAAATAAAAGATGACCAGTTATATCATAAAGTTTAGTTCGATCAACAAAACGACCATTTGATGGTAATGCACGAACCCATTCTGGTGCATCAGCTGGTATAGCTGGTAATTCAACCATATCTGATTGATCAGTCATATTTAAAACTTATAATAATCAAGGATATGTAACGTACGTTTAAAAATAAAACAACAACATAAACGTTTTATTTCGTGATGGATGAATCATATTTGCTATTTGAAAGTTGATTAACTCAATCAATATAATGTATTGATAATTATTAAATCTTCATGAAATTAATTTTTACTATAAAGTATAATCTAGGAAAAAAATTATGAATTAGAAAAATAACTCTTATTTCAAAATTATCTGTCAAAGCACATGACTTATTATTGACAATTGAATGAAACTGCCATCTATCGAGAACAACGATTTCTCATCATAGATAATTCTTCAAGTCAAATTATAGTTATCGATGAATTACTTATCGAGATTATTTTCTAGCGTCGATAATCAAGATATCATTTTTTTTCTAAAAATTATGTCATTTGATTCACGTGGAAGCTTTGCCAAGAAATAAAAGTCAAAAAACTGATTCTTTCTTGTAGTATAATTATTCAAATACAAAGAAAACAGATGTTTCGTCAATAAGACAACAATCTGAAATCAATAAAAACTCGTATGCTACTCTTTCGAGATACATTAAATTTTTCTGAAATATTCGTAGACGACAAAGAGTAGTAGAAAATTCAATGCAATTTGACATTATATTCTAGAGCCTATCACAAATTATAGTGAGATTAAATGACATCCAAGTTTGAGTTAATCAATCATATTTGTGTATTTCAAAAATCAAATAAATTCAATTATTTAGAATTTTTTTAACATCTAAAAATATCTTGAATATATATTAATTGATTTATAAGATAAAAAAAGAAACAAGGTAATAATACATAAAGTACAATTAAAGCGGGAATGGTAGATATTCTTATGTGCAGACATATTTCAAAAATTGGAATAGTTTATATTATTTTGAACTATGAGTAATACGTCGAATATGTTCGTCAATCTGGGCAACTTTATCATGATTTGCTGAATATGCACGACGATAAATAGAACTTGCTTTTTCAAAATATGCAAGTGCTTGTGAAAAGTCTCTTTTCGATTCGTAAATGCGACCAATATTTTCAAGAGTCGCTGCAATAGATGGATGTTGAGGAGGAAGCGCTTGTGTTTTGATATCCAATGAATTTATATAATGTCTGAGTGCAAGATCATATGAACCTAAATATCAATAAGTCATTAGTAAGTGAAAAGTTTCTAGACAAGATTTTTTGTTCAGTGTTGACTGGCTAAGAAGTATGTCCGATGAGTCAAAAGCAATAAATTAGGATGCTCGTTTCACATATGGGCTTAGAAGTATTTGTTCGAGAGTAGTAAAATAATCTTTGAAAAGCTCAGAAAAATAAGTTGTGATTTTCATGATTACGATTCGAAATTAATGGTGAGGATCTTTATATATATATAAATTTGTAGATCAGAAGCTAACCTACCAAATGCACAGTTTGAAGTTTTCTTTTGTCTTTTGACAAAGCACGTCAATTTTCGATTTTTCTAAATACTCATTCTACAAAAAAAAAATTCTTGTGGCCTTCTCACTTTACCAAAAAACTACAGCTTAGTCCCAATATCAAGTTTTGTAGATAACTATCCGCTCTACAAAACGATTGACTCTGATAATTTTAGGATATTCGTAAAAAGGAAGTTATAAGGTAAATAAAAAATCGGTTGGCTGATCATTAATAATCATCTTTCAGGTCTTTCAAACAGCCCGTCACTATTCTTAAACAAAAATAGACACAAATGTTTCTAATGAGAGAACCACTTGAGGTGATACCTCGCGTTTAAAATTAGATCCCAGTCATTATATAGGGCTTATTGATTGACACAGCACTTATAAAAAGACTGCTAACAGAATTTTATCCATAGACAGCTCTTGAAGTCATAAGAATCTTGTAGAAATTTCAATAAAAATATAATGGTTTCTTCTCTATAGATCAAATCTACAAGAATCGAAATAGTTCACCAAAAGGACAGAATGCCATGTTTTTCTGTGGATTTGATACATCGAGAAATCTCTTTTTTTGACTGAAACTTTTAGGATATTTTATTGTCGTCAAGAGTTGTCTATAAGTTATGTTTTAGGACAAAACATCTTGGTGCATTTTCTTTACAAATACTGTGCCAAAGGTAAAAAATCCAATATAAAGACCTTTACTCTAAAATGATAGACAAGGAGAAAGGATTCTTCGAGTTCCGACAGACTCTACATAATGACTGGAGTCATATCTTAAACGCGATGTATCAATTCAGATGGTTTCTTTATAAGTTCATATTCGAATTCTGATCGCAACCGAGAGTTTTTAACTCGTTTGATTTTCTGTCAAGACGATCAAAATGAAGTAACGTGTTTACCGAAAACGTCGTGACCCACAAGTTTCGTCCAAACAAATACTTTAAACCTTTGTAAAGACTATTTTACTATTCTTGAACAAAAACTGAGATCAAATTTTAGTTTTTAAATTACCTTTTTTCCAATGAACATCACCGATATTTTCATGACTATCAGCAATTCTTGGATCACCGGCTTTAGGTAATTTTCGCATTTGAAATTCAAGTGCTTGATTATACCACATAAGACTTGTTTCAAAATCTTGTTGGGCTAAAGCTATTGAACCAAGTAAGTTATAACATCGAAGTTTATCATCATGATCTGCAGGTAAATCTTCGAGATAATGATTTGTATATTCTTCAGCTTCATCAAATTTATCTAAATCATACAATGCTTGGACAAATGTAAGAAGACTTATTTCACCATCACCATATTTCTTTTTCATATCATCAAATACTTGTTTAAATTCATGATCACTATCACTATATAATGTCATTTCAATAGTATATAAACCATCTTCTCCACAAGTAATATTATTAATTAAAAATATTGAACCAAACATAAAAAGTACTTCATTTTTATCAGTATCAGAATGAAGTGAACCAATATGAACAAATGGTTTTGAGCCAACTACGCGAGGATCAGCATCAATTTCGATTAATACTCGACAATAATCATCTTTTATTGTTTGACTACTATTAAGAAAATTAAGTGCTACTTCAGAATTGATTGTTGTTGAAAGAAATGAATTTATAACAACACATTGTCCAATTGAACTTATCCATTTATCAAGTAATTCAACTGACATTAATTGACTTCGATAAACATGTAATGGTGTTGAACATTTATGTTCTTGCATTTGTTGATCAATATCATGAAGAATTCGTCGAAATAAAAATAAACTACGAATATCTTGACTTTCAAGTGAATAATTTAAAATTTTATACAAAAAACATTCTTGAAGATACCACCATAGAGCACGATCAGATGAATATTTATTTTTAAATTCACTTAACATATGTAATTCGTTTCGATCATCTTTTATTTGTTCATAACACAAGGCCATAAATTCTTCATCATCATTTGCACCATATTGTACTCTCATTAAACAATCCAATAGTAATTGCAATTGAAAATATTCAATAGATAATCCATTGCTTGATTGGTTTTCTTCATCAGATATAACAGAAGCACAAGCACCACCAGCTGATGATTCATTAGCTTTATTGCGTTTTTTTTTCGAGAGTTTTGATCGAAGATAATCCATAGTTTGACTAAAATATGAGATTGAATAGGAATAAACTTATATTTAATCTTGAGCAAGTATGTAAGAGAAAAAGTATTTTTTATAATCGAAATGTATAATAAATCTCCTTTTCAATAGAAGACTCAGTTCTTTTATTTAGTAGATCCTCCAAAAAAGTTATTTTATAGGCACTGTATATTATACCTAGCAAAAGTGATCAATAGGTTCTATAGATCATACGAGAAAATCCAGATCCTTCTAGAATGATGGAGGCGATTTACAAAAAAAAAAGAACTCTTCGCTCACAGTTGTTTATTTCCAATCTCGGAAGAATGAGTCATACGAATACTCAGTGCTGCCATTGCTTACTATGGGTTTTGTCTGCATTATTATTGGTAAGATCACTTCGATCAATCAGAAAACCCTTTTCTACAGAGGACGCCACTGACACTGATAAGTAGAAACCCATTTTCTTAGTTATATTTGAAACGGTTACTCTCTTCATCCACTAGTAGTATGTTAGTCATTTTTATAAATGTATGACAGTATATTCTCTCTATGGTAAACAACCTTTGGAGTTTTTAAACGTGTCTACTATAAGGAGGCTAGGTATTTTCTTAAAGTACTTTTTTTTACAAGGTAAAGACGCATTTTCTAGGTATCTGAAGAGCACTAGAGAATAAAAAACAATAAAATGTTGCTCATTATCATTAGTCTTTTGATGCATTTTTGTTCTAAGGAAATTGACAATTGTTAAAATATAATAGAACTTACCAATCTTGGACACTATCGAGACCTTTCAAATATGTTCATCGTATCACTATATGACGGTATCCGCTATACAAAGGTGTCTACTATGGAAGGTTTTACTGTATATTACTTCTACCTTTGACTTGTGTCATATAGTATTCATTTAAAATTATTGATACTCTAATTTCACGAAATATTATAATAAATAAAATTGATTTAAACTAACAACAAAGTTTCTTCAAGTAGTAAAAAGCTTTTGAAGCAAAACTTGCGCCATTCGATCAAGTCTACTGAGACTAAGCGAAACCTCTAATTATATGTATCTATATTGCTTTCTTTTCAAGTTATTATGATTGTCCTTAATGTGTGACTTAATGTAGGATAGTTGAACCAGTTCATCCTGAAATTTCGTCCACGAAGAGATCTTATGAACGTCGTCATATTCTGCCAGTTTCAGATAGAAAGAACATTCTCTCAATGAATGCGAATATTTTAGAAAAGATTCAAAAAAAAATCCGTTATTAGAGAAAAACGTATTCATTTCAACTGAAACTTTTGGTACCAGATAGTATTCATAAGATCTTTTTATCAGTGAAATTTCAGGTCGAAATCATGATATTGCATTATTTCTGATAAAGCCCGCTTAAACTGAGTAAAATAGCCATAACTTAAAAAAAATCAACAAAGGTACGAATCATTAGAAGTTTTGCTTAGTCTCACAAGGGAACCTACGAAATTGTTCCATGACTTTTCGATCGAAATTGTACTCAGATGATAGACTATGATGAGTAACGTCAAAGCCTTTATTCTTGATTTCAAGATCAATGATCCAGACAACTGAACCATCTCAGACTTTGACATTGCTCACCATAGTCTATCATCTGAATACAATCACGATCGAAAACGATCACACACTTGTGGACGTTTTCCCTTTCAGTAGACTTCACCAGATGACACAGATCTCACCTGAAAAGTTTTTTTTTTACTTAGAGGCATTTCTTTACAAGCCAATAAACAAAGGTAAGATTACAAATCGATCTGAGATGGATGGACAAATGTGATGAATATGATTAAATTCATAGAAATCAAGATCTCAGATAAACATTTAAGTAAATTTTTTTTTAAAGTAATATTCTGGTTCAAAACTGATTATAAATAAAGAAAATTCCCAATTTTATTAAGTAAATGGCCAATAAGCACGGTGATATGTGTACAAAAACAAGAACACATATCTCCTTGAAATAAAATACAGAAAATTATAAATTTTCTTTAATATATTCAACAATATCTTGGACCATTTCACGTGCGATATCTAATGCCAATGATCCATACAAAAAAGTTATTGAACCATGAAATGTATTTTCATAATGATGATGAACAACTTGAACACCAGCTCGTTTAAGACGACCTTCATATATAAATGCTTCATCACGTAAACGATCATGACCAACACTTAATATATGTGTCGACGGTAATTTATCTAGTTGTTCATCATGTACAAGCAATGGAGAAACTTCTGGATTGAGAGCTTTTTTAGCTTTTTCAATAAGACTTGGATCGCCTTCATGATCATCTGTAATCGGTTCTTTATATATTGTTCGATATTTTAATAGAATGAAAGACCAATCAACAATACTTACGATATTGTCTTTTTTGTTCAACACTCGTATGATTATTATTATATTGTGATTTATTAATAGTTTCATTTAAATAAACCGATAGTTTATGATAAGAAGTATAATATAAAAATTTAAAATATTCTTAATACAGGATGGAAGCATCATATCAAAAAATTGTAAAGATGGATAAATAAGAATTTGAAGAGGAGGCGAATATTTACCAACTGATTGAGTAGTAAAATGCATGGTAATTATAGCAGCAAGACTACCACCTAAAATATAACAAGAAAAAGTCGTCATTATACTTTCATTTGATCTTCCAGAAATGCAATAAAGAAGTAGTCGGCTTTTTTTATTACAAGACGTTATTGATATATGTTCCGTAAGGGGATGAAGGTGAGGATCTAAGTTTTTACTCCTATAATTCAACATTACTTTAGATTATGTGTCACAAAACTTATGTTAATGTATTTTCAGCTTGGATAATCAACATTATAATATGTTTGAAGTTAAAATAAAAAATTTAAGCATTGAATCGTTGAATTAGTTTTATGTTCATTTAATGTAAATTAACATACCTGCCGAATCATCAGCTAACGTAATCTGTGTTGGATCGATATGTAACTTTTTTGAATCTTGATATTCAAGAAGATATTTTGCCACAGTATAGCAATCTTCCAGACCAGTTGGAAATGGATATTCTGGTGCGAGACGATAACTAAATAGAATTTCTTTCATCAATTAATTGATGTAGAAGTATTTAAAAATGAATCCAATGCGTCTTACTCGACCGAAAAATAACTATATTTGCTAATCTTGATAATGTACTAGTGAGTGCATTATATGTATCTATAATTTGATTCAGAGAAATTTTAATATATGTTAATCATACTTACCAACTGAACCCATATAAAACTCACCACCATAAAAATAGACAATAGCTGGCAAATTATTATGATCATTTAGTAGTCGAACAATTCTAACTGCTATGTTTTCAATAGATGTATCTACAATCTAAGTAAAAAGAATATACATGAACGAAAAGACATTATTTTATCTGCGGATTAGCATCCTCTTTTTGTCTGTTTTTCAATAATGTTACTAGACTAATAGTTTTGCGCAAGACTAAAACATGATTTGACAAACCAAAAAACTCGACTGCTATACCTTGTAAAAACGAAAGCTTTCATATATCAAAATAATCAAAGTCAACATGCAATTAAGTGAGAAAATTTCATGGGAGCAGTGAGTACTCGAACTCAATTGATTTGTGCAATACCTTCACTATTTGGTGCATAAAGAAGGTATCCAATTAAGTTGCTATAATAGCGACTAGGATGGTTAAACGTTGAATCGTACGGGTCATATATAATCTTAAAAGAAAAGAGTTTTTATGGAAGGCAAATTACATTTTCAAAGTCGTATTCAGTTGAAAATACTGACCATTAACATCAACAGCGATAGTAGATAAAGTATATTTAAAACTATAATTAGTTATTTTTGTAAACAGAACTAATGAGGGAAGGTCTCCAGCTGTCAAATCGCTTTGTGATCGAAGATACACTCAAATGATGCACCTTGATGAACTATTAAGCTCCTCTACAAGGATTTCGTTTTCCAGGCCTCATGAACAGTGATGTACGATTATTACAATTCTTACTTTTGACATACAATATGTACTAATTTATTCGGTATTTTGCCTGAACATGTCGCAAAAAGAGGATAACATGTAAAGTGAAAGAAACATTGTTAAGAAGAAACGTATTCAACTTCAACTCAAAATTGCGTCAAAGATTCAGTCACTCGACACATTTCTTCCATTGTCAGTGAAAAGTCATCGCTCGTCATCTATCTGATCGAATTCCTCTTGATGATATGAACATGAATATCACAAAACTAAATAATATACTTAAATTAGAGTCATTTATTCTTAACTGATTATTCTCGCCTATCTTTACTGCTATGATTATATATACGTGATTTAAAGCCGTATATCTTGATACACATCCAGATCTATTCAAAACTATCGTTGAAGTTTGCTTCTAATTTGATGGTTTAGAATGTCATATACGTAATGGTTCCTCATGTTCATTCATGCGATGCAGATATTGTGGTTATGTATTATGTATTGGACACTTTTTCACAACTATCACTTTGACAGATTCCATGCTTCATTTCACTTTTCTAATTTCTGTTAATTCGAGTCTGATTCATAAAAGTGTTACTGAAAATCGATCATAGGATAAGAAGTTCGCGAATTCATATTTCTAGTGTCTATTACCTAATGTATCGATTAATGAGCTGACATGTCTATCAGCATGTCAACTATGAAATCAATGAGTGCTAAAAATATCAGACGAGTCAATGCTTACATCTTTGAGCAAGAGCATATGTTGTTTTTTAATAGTCAATCGGTATTTCAAATAAAATCATATCTTCGATAAGAAGTATTGATTTATCTTCAAACTCTAGAACCTTAATCAATACTAAGGTAATTAGTATCGACACAAATTTGTGCTACATTGGAGCATGTTTAATCAAGATATCGAATAAATAAGTACAGTAGTACAGCAAAACTAATGGTGGTAATAATCATATATCTCCACTCAGAAGGCCTAAAAAACCGAAACCTTTGTAGGGTATTCAATAGCTCATTAAGATATATCGTTCCAGTACATACTCGATCAAAGAGCGGTTTGAGAGTTGAAGACGTTTCCTCATAAGAAGAATTCTGAAATATTTTAGTGTTTATAATTTCGGCACGGAATATTATATTAATATTTTAAGCTTCAATATAAGAAAAGAAACAACTCTTAAACTTGTATATATATATATATTATAAACAAACGAAATAAAATCAATCTAACAAACACAACAAAAAAAGACATCCACTCTTATTATTTACACCTTTTCATATAATGAAAGTAGTTCTATTAATAACAAACTGAGCACAATCATGAATAATATCAAAAGCTTCATTAAAAGCCACTGGAAAATCAACAAATGTCATTGCACCATGAAATATACGATACTCTCTATAAACGATGTCTTTTACATTAAGTTTTTGTAAACGTTCAAAATATAATTGAGAATCAGATAAAAGAACATCATATGTACAAGCACCGATGAATGTTGATGGACTATTATGTAAAATTTTATCATCTGCTAATAATGGTGAAATATTTTCATTAAATAATTTCCAAGTATCTGGGTGAGATTTTTCAACTAAGTGATCTTTATTTGCAATTGGTAAATTAACTTTTGAATAAAAATAATTATAATCATCAGATGATAAATGTTGATTTTGGAAAAGTTCATTTTTAGCAAACGATGTATTCACATAGAAATTCGTTACTTGAGTAAGAATATCTTCACGAAGAATTGATAGAATATTATAAGGTGAATTAGTTAAATAAGATGGTAAACGAAAATTAACAAGTTGAAGTAATGGATAAAGAAGAATAACACCACGAATAATTGATTTTTGTTCATGACGTATTTGTCGTTCCACTACAACAGCTATATTACCTCCTACAGAAAAAAAAAGTACACTCATACAATTCAAAAATAGGTTTATAAGGTTCGACCTACCCGCTGAATCACCACAGAGAAAAACTTGTTTAGGATCGATAGAAAATTCTTGATAATTATCCATTACATATCGTACTACTTTAACGCTATCTTCAATTGGTATTGGATAATGTACATTTGGTGTTAATCGATAACTAATAATATATGAATTAATATCTATGAGTATTTCTTTTTACAATGCACTTACTTGACTGAAATAACTTTTGCACCACTATACATTGACATATGATAAGTCATAGTATCATGAGAATCTATTGAAATTAACCAACATGCTTTTTTCGAAAATTTCAGATCACCCTCCACCGTACAAAAAAAATGAAAATTGAGATAAATACACGAGACGGTAGCCTGGTGTCTAATCTTTCATCAACTAAATGCTTTTTCATTTGAGATCTCATTTTTCCAAAAAAGTTTAGGTGGCTTCCGTCATTTCGTGAACAAGTTTTCGTATCTAATGTGCCGAAATGATTTTATTGTAGATATCAATCAATGGGACGATAATATTATCAGTCTAATACAGTCAGAATAGGACAGTCGTCACTTTAGGCAAGAAGCACAGTATATGCCAAAGCTTGTTGATGAAGACGATGGCATGCTCAAAGATTAAATCAGTATATCCTAACATAGTGGTTGAATCAACTAAATGAGGTATAACATGATCCTTGCCGCTGGTAATAGCATACACTGTATATATTATTATTCAGAGAAAACAAGTTATATGTATCGAAGATGTATCCGACAATACAAATAAGTTTTTTTTTCAGAATCTCGATATTAAATGAATCTGATAGATTGGTAGAATAACAGTTCTAAATATAACTATTTTCGGCATGATAAAATTTCATAGTGCGACTATCAAATACAAAAATTCTTATAATTTTGATTTATTCATATATTCGGCATTATTTTTTTAATTAATTCGTCGAACTCTTCTGACAATATACCATAAGATTATAATAGTCAGAGTTTGTGAGTTCCATACTTTGGCCACTCATGAGACCACACTGAGAATTTATATTGCTTGAAAAATATTCTCGTTTCAGAAAAAGCGGGAAATCTTTTTTGCTTTTTTCTCTGTTTATATGTTTTTGATTGCGTAACCGAGAATTCTCTATGCATCTTCATAATATGTATATATTTATTATTTTGTTTGAAAGAGCATGTCAAGATTCAGAGCATGACAGAACCCGTTTTTTAGTTAAGTTTTGTTACTAGTATATAAGAGTACTATTACCATTTGAAAATCCATTTTTTTGAGATTTCGTGCTATTTCAAACAAAAAATAAATCAACTATATAGAATAAGGACTAACTGAGAATTTTGGATTGCTAAATGAGCTATTTTTGACCTAGGTTTGTTGAATACTTCTCGCAAACAGCATATTACAGAGCTGAAAATTTCATAGACTTGTATGTACCTGACTCAATATCGGTTTTTGAGAGGAAGAGGTGGCGTTAATAATAACTTACAAATACTGCCAAAAAAGAATCCACCACCATGAAAAAATATAATCACTGGAGATAAGAATGTTTTTGACATATTGCTTGGTGTATAGATACGAACAAGAACATCTTCTATATATTGATCATGGTACTATAGAGAAGAAAAAAAAATTAAAAAATATCAAAATAACTCTATTTTATTACTTACCAATACTTGACCATGATCGAAAGAACGTATTTTGATTTGATCAAACGAATCAACAATAGTATTAAGTGTCTTATAATATGGAATACCAATGATTGATTCAAAAATTTGACTCTACAAAATAGAAAAAAAGAAAACATTGAAATCTCCAATGAATCGCTTCATATTACTTACAAAATCAAGGACGAAAGCAAAAGTACCTGTAATAATTTTATATTTTATTGGATGTATCATTGAACCAGGAACACGAACAGGTATAATATAATGAGTAATAAAAAAAGCAAATATCACTGTGATTATGAAGAGGAATGATCTCAATGATGGGACACATGATTTATTTTGATATGTCATTTGTAACAGAATATTTAACAAACTTTCAATATATGGATGTTATTTATGTAGCTGTATAGAACAGAAGAACGCAAAAATGCAAAGGTGATATGATAAAATACAGAAATGTTGTATCAGAAGATAATCACGCGAGAAGAAAAAAAGAAAAAAGTAACACTATAATAAACAGTAATTTTCTCAGGGAAAATGTCACGATAGTGTGTATCTAAATATATCGCGGAATATATATAATTATTATATTCTTGTGATTCACTGTTGTTTTTTAAATCAATCTGTCATATTATTTTTTGAAGACTATACATGAATTTGAATAACACTATTTCATGCTGATATAGATCAAGATTCATTTTTCGAATGAATAATATTCATTTGTAAGTTAGATTTCTGAATGTTCTATGATCAATTTGATTTTCATCAAGCAATGCAAAACAAAAAGCAACTGAAAATTTTTATGTATCTTCATTTTTACTATTGTACATTTGTTTGTATCAAGTGATAATTGCATAGAAATTCGTTAGTTGTACGTCTAGTGATGAGAAAACTTTTAAAATTACAGTTGAAAACTGCTGAATTTCTTCCTTATGACCGAGGTAATCCTCGAGGACTCTATTATCATGTCATTCTCTCAAATACGTTGTATTTTATCTTCTTATTGTATATGTATATGTACTCTTGTTCAAGGCATGGCGTGATCTTATGCGTTCATATACCCACAAACCTGTCTTTTTTTCTTTCGTTCTTTTCCCCTTGTTGGATCTGTACGTCATGACCTTTTTTTTTAAATAAAACTATTATAATCAATGATAACATCTTTTGGTTTTGTTTTATGCTTTTATCACCATACTTCGCTTTTCTTTTAAATATGTTACATATAGCGAGAAAGTGCGAAATGCACAGCATCTTAAAGTATATTCTCCTTGAAAAATGAATAACGTTTAAGCAAAAAAAAATTGTAAGAAAAAAAGAAGGGTGACATTTTTTTTTCTACAATGTATCGTTTGAGCATAGCAAGTTTTCTCTCTTAATTATTTTGTTTGTATTTATATTCATGTATATGAATTTCAGGCAAAATTGGTTTCTTTTTGGCGCTTCTATCCAATTCAAGGTTCTTCTTCAGAATACACACACCCTATGCACACATTGCCTGGCACGACAACTAGGGTGAGTGAAGGGGTGTGCGTATTCTAAAGAAGTACCCATCCAAACAGGGTATAACAGATACTAAAAATAAACAATTATTTACTCACAATAAATTTTAACCGATAATCAATGTTCCCATGTCCCCATCGTCGAAAAAAAATGCAAATTCATTGTAAAAAACAATGAATTTACTCATACATTAAATTTCACCAATGATCAATGTCCCCATGTCCCCATCATCAAAAAAATGACTAATATATTATCACATAAAAAAATACTAAGCGTCTTATATCTTTCTCCTTGAATAAACTAAAAAAAGCTTTAAATTTTGAATAAACAAATACACTTATATCTTTATAAATTTTTTTTTTTTTCGAAAAATCAAAAATAGCAATTTTAATGTCAATTAGATTCCAAACTCACCTCCAACATCTATACTCAAACAAACTCAAAATGATTTTTTCATTTAATACTAAAGTAATTAAAAAAGGTGATGAACAATGCCGAAACCTCTATATCAATTTTTTCTTTAATCTCAGTTATGCAAAGAGCTAATTTTGACTAGGCAAAATCATATCTAATATTTTCAAAAAAAAATTCTATCTTTAGTTCAATTCTGCCTGAATACCAAATTTGCTTGACACATATATATTAGTTCAAAACTTATATTAATACAATGCTCCATCTACGAATATTACCCACATAATAATATTAGGTAAAAACTGCTTTGTCTAGGAAAAATTGGAAAAGATTTAATACTAAATAATTTCATGTTTTGTTTTGTCACCTGTATTGATGTGTATAATATTGCGTTCTTTTTTTCTGTTTTATGTTTTTGTCTCCGATGTTTATTTATTGTTTTATTTATTGTTATTGACATGTTTTTCATACCTGTATTCGTGTGTTCCGTTTGCATAAGGAATAAAAGACGTAAAATCATTTCATAATTTCATAACATATTTATTCTCAGATCGATGTGCACTTCGATTAATTATAACAAACTTTTCATTACAATTATTACAAAATTTGCATTCATATTGAGCAGAAGAAATTAATATTAGTGCATGTCAAAGATAGGCTCGATTTGAGTTTTTCAAAGTTTAAATCCAACCAAAAAAGAAAGTTTCTTTTCAGTTCCATTAGAGATAACTAAAACCAATAATTTTTAATGGAACTCGCTGATCTTCTTCCAAATGAATGGCATTTAAACTTCTGATTCTACTCTAAAAAAAAAAGAGACTCTGTGTATCAAAAGACGTTACCAAAATAAAAGGACATTCAAAGGAACAATATGTTTAATATAATAGAAGATCTCTTAAGTATTTAATTAAGAAATTGTAACCTTCATCAATATATTTAATCAGAGATGTACCATGTTTTCAGGATTCTGATTTGACAACCAATGAAGACTACAGCGAAAATGATTTATGCATCTTTTGAATTCTAGAAAACCCTTTTAAATGTTTCAAACTGTTCTAATGATTAGTATTTGAAAAAAAAAGAAATCTTACAGAAAGCTCTCTTAGAACAATTATCCTCTTGGATAAAGTAAAATATTAAGGATTGTGCGCTATTAGACGTAATGGAAGAAATATTCATCTTCTATTAACTTTGATGTAATTATAATATTAAATATATTGAATATTTTCATTGTTATGTATGACTTCTTTTTTGTTTACTTCTACTTTTCTTATCGAAATATTGATCCAAACTACAACAATTTAGGTAGAAATCGAGCTAGCATTTTATACAACTTTCTGACATCAAATTAATTAAAATTCATCAAGAAAATATTCAAAATTCTCACTGGTATACAGCTACTGAAATTAGTACATGATAAACATTGATATACAATTACTAATAGCCACCACTTTTAGTATACTTATAGTGTATTGCTATTTGCAACAAACTAGAGCGAATAGCTTATTAATTTAATACTATGCTGTCAATAGAATGTGTGATTATTTTTTTCGTTCGACGTTGTTGACTTGAAGATCTACACATAGTATATGTCTATTAAATATAAGATAGTTTATTAAGTTAATTTTCATATAGGTTTTAGGATGGATGTAAAAAACCAGAACACCTAAACGCTACATCCACGCTCCCACCTACACTCACACATGACCGTCCAATAGTAAACCGTCTAGATACAATACAAGAAAGTTAAAAAGATTTTAACACCTTTCCATTGCAACTGAATTTTTAGTATATTGAAAGTTCTCATGCGTTCAAAGAAGACTTTAGCTTACGTCTAAAACAGAATTGGTAAAAAATGATGTCCATACTATGATATTCGAAGGATTTCCTCATGGCTGATGATGCATCACCGTTGTATCATTTCATTTTTTTAGTTAGTTAGTTGGTTCATTTGAATTCAAATGACAATAGTTTTTATAAATGAGTATTTCGAATATTTTCAGAAATACCGACCAATAAAACGGTGATCGTTGATTCAAGTCATCATCATCTACAGTGATATTCATTGAAGATTACTGAAGACTAGCGAATATCAATGAACTGTATTAGTGAAAACTCATCTACTCTCTGTTCTTGTGAATCAGTCTCATTTATGTTCTCTGTAATACATTGTCAGTCCTGGAGATATATCTTTTGGTACTCATTACTAGAGTTCGATAATTCCAGTTCGGTTTCCAAATATCGAATTATTGAAATTAAAGTTTCCACTTATTTCAGTACTTAAACAAAACTTCATTAGGTATGTATACTAAGATCTTTAATGTCAAAAATGAAAAAATAAAGATTTATCGATATAAATTTAGGAATTTTTGCATTTATCTGATGATTTAAGGTCACCTCCTTTCTGAATGTTAAAATCAAAATTTTTTCGATTTTTGGTATACATTCGTAGTGTTCTCTGTTGAACGCCATATAAATGATGACGGTTCGTTATTAGCTAGTACTGTAATTAAACCCAACTCTTGAAATCCCTGACAGGAAAAAACGCACTATGATCATTTGTTGGTTGCAGAATTCTTCCAATTATAATGGGTATTGATCATTCCACAGGTGCTAAAAGAATAAATCATGGATCTTTAACACCGCTTTAGTCAGCCAGTTTTCGATCATTTTAGTTGGTGAAAAAAAGCCGTGTTACATACAGAAAAATAACTTTTTCGTTGTTTTTGAGAACATTTGTGTAGAATCGTCTGTGTTTCTCTAGCATAGTATGTTCGATCAAGCTGGAAATCTGTTAGAGGTACGAAACATTGTTTGAGGTGCCTATTTGTTTTTCGTTCTGAAAAATATTGCATCGTTGTTTTTGGCAGATTTTTATAAAAAACATGTATTTTTTGGAGGTACGCTCAATATTTTAGTTCTTTTATTAGAATGAAGGGATGTAAAAAGAAAGTAAAAAAGAGTAGGCTTCCTAAATAGTATTTAATATTTGTAAAAGAAAAATTTCAGCCTTATCAGACTTATTGCGACTGAGAAAGCGTCAATTATACATTATGAGTAAAGCTTTCCAGGAACGATGAATTGATACAGTTTTGAAATGCCCATGGGTATGCGAGTTATAGAAGTCATAAAATTAGTTTTTACATCTTAGAGTTTTTCCGTTTATTTATTTGAAAACCAAATATTCATTAAAAAATTATTGTCGCATCATTTTGACGACATCAAATTAAAAACAAAATGTCTAACAAGAAATTAATTGTTCGATCATATACTGTCGTACATTGTCAGTCATTAGCAAATCACTATGCATTCGATTATTATCATCAAACAAAATGTTACTCAATTGTTCTTCAAGATACCAACTGGAAAACATTGAGATGATTTTCTTTTCATCATTATATATTTCTTCAACGTAGAAAATATTTCGTTTTTGATTGGCACCAAGAAGATACTCAAAATATGTAGCATCGAGATGATTTTGACGAGCTGCTCGAGCACCGATAACTATCACTTTTATTGATGAATCGTGTCGATTGATATTATGTTCATTCATCCAATTTTGAACGGCACGATGCATTGAATTTAAACTAGCAATAGCAGCTGCATCTAGCAGAACAAACAGGTCATTCAAGATATCCCGAGTGTAGGCTGTTAGATGCCCTTGATTAACTGCCATTCTATTGTTTAGCTTTTGTCGAATGAGTATTTGCGATTCATGTATAATTCGAAGGGCTGACTGACGTTCCGATCCGATTGAATCTGGTAGCTGAAGATTATTCAACTGTTTCCAGTATTGTTCGAGTGTATCATCAGACAAACTAGGCCATTTGTTGCAAAGAAGAAGAACGGTAATTGGAATATGTGCAATACTTTTTAATTGATGAAAAATCTGTGGTATTGTTTTGATTGTTGGATAACGAATTCCTCTGTGAATAAAAGTTAGAGAACTGCCATTTCTAATGAAGACTGTACCATTTTCAGTTGTTAAACGCCAAAGATCATCACGAGCTTGTATATAATGACGATGAAATTCTTTATTTAGCTCTGTTAATGATGTAAATAGATTTTGAGGTGTTGTTGATTCTGTTGCTTCAGCTTGTTCAACCATAAAAAATGTACCAACGGCCATACAAGCAACTATGGATTCGATCAAGAATAAGATATGAGAAAATTTTTTGAACATAAGTAGACCAAACATAATAAAATTATTTTCACTTTTGAAATGTGAATATATTGTTGTTTCGAAGGAGAAATAACGCTTTTATAGAAAGTGTGCATGTGGGTTGAAAAGTTCGCTCGAGAATTAAGAGATGATTGTTATTATTGGATGGGTATGAAAGTTGAAAAAAGAATAGTCATTATTGTGGTGTTGTCAGCATTATTTGCCTAATCTTGATGTTATGATTTATTCTCTTCAGTAATCCCTTTTCTCGTGAGAAACATATTCTTTAATCTCTATTAGCCATCTTGCTTACAAGTCTTCATTTTTCACATTATTGATGGTCGTAAATGCACTTCATTTGTACTATATCCAACGTACCTGACGACATAGGTTTTCGAGATGTAAAAAAACCTAGTTTTGCTTGAGGCTATTGATATTAGATAGATATCAGTAAATAGTGGGAAAACTGTCTTAGTTGCGGCGTTAGGATCTGTTTTTCTGAGTTATTATTGTTTTAGAAGCTTTTCAACCAGCTGAAATTTCATAGATGCGCAATGGTGGTGAGTTTCACAGGAGAAAAGCTGATACCTTTTCCGAAGGTTTCCGTTTAAATGAACGAAAAATGTTACAATTATATTCGATTTTTTCAGCCTGAATCTGTTAATCGAGCTGTTCTATGTCTTAAAGTATTTGTGTTGCGTCAGATGAATGAAACATGAATCCAATGAAGTTTCGTTGTATTATGCTGATCTATAACCTTCAAGAAAATGTCGATTATTTGATGGATTTAATACTACATGAAATAGACGTACCTTGTTGTTTTCTCTGTTCACATCTCGAGTGAAAGTTGTATTCAATGACAATATTTATATATTGATCGAATAGGATCATCTTACTTATATTAACACAGCAACGCTTGCTTAAATAACTTTCGACATCGAAATTCTGGAAATGCAATCATGTCAGACCTTCCAAGAATGTTGAGCTTCACTCATTATTTGTTTTTCAGGCAAATGTTCATAATGACACTGACGAGAAAGCATCTCTAGGTATGAAATCGATGTTCGATTGAAACAGTATGCATTTGATGAGTGTTAATGAGTAATAGAAAAAGTCTAGCATGATTTTCTTTTTCAGGTCTTCGTTCTTGATATATCGAAATTTTACTCTATTTTTCAACAAAAGCCGGTATTCCTCTCAAAACACGTATAGAAACAACTTTCGAAAATTTGACTTCAAACTTTGCAAGAACAAAGTTCTCAGTGAAACTAGTTCATTGTGCAAGTTTTAGCTTTTCAATTATTTCCCTTCTAGCGTTGAACAAAACTTGGTTTTACAAATAAGAAAATTTCGAATATCCTAAATCTCTGGACACGAGATACTAAATGCAGCCATTCCGCTGAAAATACAAATGATAGTAATTTCTTGTAGTAATTGCTCGAATTTTTGCTTATTCGCGATAGCAAATAGTCGAAATTCATATGATTGAACAAAGTTTTATGGAAGTTATGTATGCTATCAGAACATACAATCGAAAAGATACAAAAACTAAAAACGCATTGAACGACTTTCATCCTATTTCAATCCGAGTGGTCTTCGAATACGACCGAAATAAACTCGATCATCACAATGAATATAATAGTATATCCTCACTTTTTATTAATGTCTTCTAATATTTACAATCTTAAGGACAAACTTAACTTGCCTTCACCGTGTCCAGTTAGGCATTCTAAAAATATTTTATTTGTCTAAATAAAAATGAGTTTTGTCGCGTTTTGCTTGCCAAGTGTTATTACTCATAAACAACCAACAAGAACATTATGTAACAGTGACTTCGCCTCCGTATGTCTTACTTTGAACGTACATCACTCTCTGTGGGCGATACATCACAATATGACGAAAGTGCACAAGCAGGCTGCTCACGTTCGCTCCCACCTGAAGAAAAAGTAAAAAAAGAGGCGAATGCAAATATAGATATATCGTTAAGACCAAAAAATTGCGTTCGATCCTTTGATCCGGATATCTTTTTATACTCTATATGATCCCGTTATTATGATAGCAGAGGCTAGATTTATTCAATTATCAAGCTGACATTAATAAATACTTGTTCACATCAAGAGGATACGTACCAAATGAAGAGAAACATTGGCATATCGATCATTGATCCACAATAATCAAAGTTAATCAAGAAAGAATCAACCGTTTTGACAGAAGCAGAGGACAACATGAAACAAACAAGACACTTCAATCAAATCAGGGTAACTTTTGCACAATATCCAATTTTATTTTCAATCGTTACCGATTTCTCCTTTCAATCAACTAAGTCAATGAGAAATCCAAGATGGAGTTCTATTTCGATCTAAATCCTTCTGTCTACAATCAAAAGTATCGAGGGATCCAAAATATCATAGCAAACAAGATCATTAATCCTATAAATGTCAATCAAAATATATCTCTGCATCGACGTAGATTTTCTAAATTGGATTTTTAAAGAGAAATCACATGGGTGCTTACCACTATACCACAAACCAAAAATAAGCAATGGTTAGACGAATTCATCAATAATTTCGGCAAGAATGTTATTTGCCTACGTTATCCTTTCGTATGATTACTTTCTTCATGTATGCAGTTATTATGTAGTTTATCATGTACTATGCAACACTACCCAAAGTATTGATATAAATACTTGTACATAAATAGGCTTTATTTCAAAGTAAATATTGATGAGTGTTATTTGATTTCGTATTCAAACGAATAACATTAAACAAATAAAATGATTTATTATCATTTATACTTCAATATATAATTGTTTGTGTAACATCACTCTGAATATACACTGTAGCCTTTTTTGTCTGAAATACAGGTTGAAATTTTGATGTTCTTTTTCTTTTTAGTATTTTTTAGTATGTAATAAAAAATACTCATTATATATTATGGCTATGATCATATGAGTAGAGATTCAGGAGACAACCTTGCGCTCAACCACACATCAACGTAATGTTGAATAAGTTTCCATGAAGCGCGCGCTACACCATCGAATTGTTTCAGACGTCCTAGAGAAACATTGAAGAAATGAATTTGCCATAGCTAAATGCGTTCGCACAGCAAACAAAAACAAAAGAAGCATACGACGTACATAAACGTGAGCGACAGCGTGAGACAACGTGCGATTATCTTCTGGATGCCTGATATAAAGGTCGCGACACGATACAATAGATCGTATTTTAAAAGGCGATAGTTATCAACAAGTACAACTGATGACATATTTTATGTACTCATGACATATGCTTTGATCTATTATGTTACTGTGACATATTTCTTGTATGTTTTTTGTTTGAAGATCACTACCGCTGGAGTTGATTTTGGCAACTATCAAAGAAGGTGATCAGAAATATAAATATAGTTATTCATAGATGCTGTCATAGATACATAGTAAAAATTCATTTTAGGAGAAGTGATTAAACAAACCATTCTTCAATCTGAATTTAAGACCAAAGGACTATAAATATAGGCAATAATGTTATCTTTCATACTGTGTTCTATTTAGTCAGTTGTATCTAAGTATATTTGAAATTCATTATGTTTAAGAAAAAAAAAAATATTTTTGCAGTAGGTAACTACTACCGATATACCATTAGTGTGGTGCTTTCTAGACAAAAAAAACAAAACGTTCCAAAATCAAACAGAGTATGTCATTGACAACAATGATGAAAAAAGTAAATATGACAATGGTCCATTTGGATTCTGAGCAATTCGATAGAATATGAATTTATGTATTTAATTACTATCTATTTCGAAATATAACGTGGTCCACTGTTTGTTGAATAACTTTTGATAGGAATAGCAATTGATTGATCAAGTGAGTTCTTGATGGAAATTTTCGAAAAGAATATTTTGAAACTATTTTTCTTTTGATTTTGACTTTCGCCAGAACTAATCGAAAGAGAAAGTTTTTTATTTCGATCAACGCAACATCGACATTTCTAACTTGTTCCTTTGAAGAATTGTAAGATTTGTTTAGGGATCTCAATATCATCTATGTGACCTGTGATCACTTGGAGATATGGCTAGGCAAACTTAATTTATCGTACTAATTTGAATTTATGTGACCATGTTATCTCAATATTTCTGAAATGTCGATTCCTTCGTTACATGAAGACTGATTTTGGAATTTCAGAAAAATGCAGATAACAGAGTTAGATCACTGAGAACCTGAAAACAAATATGACCATTTGACTTCGTATAGTGAATCATCCCTACCTAGCTGCTTTTTTGATTGATCACAGATCGATTGGCAGCAATAAGAGATCTTAGTAAAAGTCTACTGATTCTGGAACAGAACAAGTTAGAAATGCCAGCCTTGTGTAGATTGAAGAAGGAAAAGTTTCAGAATATCGTTTTTGAACACCTTCACCAAGAATACACTTGATTAGTCAAATGCTGACGAATCAATTTTCGATATACTTCGATGATCCTGAGTCTTCTCTCGTGAATGGTCAAAAGCGAAGATCTCTATTATGTTTCTATCAAAAGCTATTCAAGAAACAGTGTAGCACATGATATTTTGAAAGGGTTAGTAGTTAATAAACTTTTTAAATTATCCACATAAGTACTACTTATTATGGAGGAATTAGAAATTTGCAATACTTGCAATAAAATATTATAGGCTCATTCATTTTCAATCATTATGTATGGCTTAGCATCTGCTAATAAAAGTATTTTCAATTAATATATTACTCGTATTTTCAGAGTGCGAGTGTGGATGCAGAAATACCTGCGCATCCATCATTAATGTATGTAATTATATTTTTCATCTGATTGATTAACAACTAATCAAGATGAAACATTATTGCCAACAGTAGAATATTTTTACAAAAAAAAAAGAATTCACAATTAAAATTATTTTAAGAACATAAATACTAACAGATGACATAAAACCATTTCCAGTTTTATTTTAAAAATTATAA